TTCTTCTTTCAAGATACGTATATTAATCTTTGTAAATTATTTAAAACGTGTACTTTTGAAGAAAGATATTTTTTTTTGACATACGTAGTTATATTTCGTTTGGTTGTTATTTTTAAAATGAAAACAGTTCTTTTATTTATTTTATTATTGTAACTAATTATTCTTATGTACATACATTTTCTAAATAATTATTCTTTATAGTCTAAAGGCAATTTATTTCTTCAATTTAGATAATATTAAACAAGGAAAAACTTCAAAGTTTTAGTAAAGTGTTGCGACTTTTACCCCCTTAAGCGAGGTTGAGAAATATTTTCTTCCTATTGTGTCGATTCTTTTCTCGACTTTAAGGCTACATTTAGCTGATTAAATAATTGCTGTAAAATTTACAGATTGGGTACGAGTCTGAACATCCATACGCAGCTTCTAGAATTATACCTGTTAAGGTACAATTTTACTTAATGCGGCAAAAGTTTTCCACTTTTCTTTTTCTTTTCTGGTGAAATATTGAGCACTATTTCACACTACACATTCGCTAATAACTACACTGAGATGTAAAAAAGTGGCTACCCTTAATATTTTAAATTATCGTTTAGACAATCATCCATTTCTTATCTTACAACAATATATGGTCCGTTTTAAAGGATTAGAGGTAAATAAAAAATAGATAAAATTCCCCACTTGTATTTACAATCAGATTTTGTAAATAAATCTTTGAATAGTCAATCTTTGTTGGTTTTTCTGTAAGCTTCTTTCTAACGTTCCTGAGCTTTAATTTTTTATGTTGTACAATTTTTAAATTTCATATTTGTTTGAGTGATGTTTTAAATAATATAGATTCGGCTAGAATCATAGCATTGTTGGAATATGGAATAAGTTAAGCGTTTCTGGCCAGGGTCCTTAAAATTCCTGGAACAACTATCCGAAAGGTCTTCAATCGCTGCCAAGACACTAGAGGCAATCCATCAAGGATCAGGTCAGCCATCAAGTCACATCTCGTTTTATTGTTTCTAGTGTACCGCTAATCGGCTTTTCACGGCAGTTGAGATGAAGCAATGACTTCAACAAGTTAGAAATGTTAATGTCAGTTTACGCACTGAAAGGCGAAGACTCTCAGAAGAGTGTGAGGCCTGCCAGTGGTACAGAACTTCTGACAAGGCACAGAACAGCTCGGTTAAAGTTCGCAAGAAACCACATCAATTGGTCTGAGCAAGACTGGCCTAAAATCTTGTCAATCAGGGTTTAGTTTGAGGTCTTCTGACAGCCAAGAGAAGAGAAGAATTGGAGAGCGATGTATCCTCGTAACATTTTCACTCCTGAGAAACTATGGAGGTGGTGGTGTTATGGTTTGGGCAGGCATTTCTATGGAAGGTCGCACAAACTTGATCTTCGTGAAGGGTTCCTTGCCGGCTGCGTGGTACGTTGAAGATCATTGCGTAGGTTTGGACTTTCCGGCCGCGCCGCTTCGTCCGCCTTTCCTTACTCTCCAAACCTATGTGTCAGGGTACCCAGACGTATAATAGGAGTATTATTATATGTTGTAATATTTAAAACAGTAAATAGAACCTAAGACACTGCGAAAATAATAATCTAATCAGGTACCGGTCGCGTGAGCGAGAGATTCAAACTCTATAACTGTTATAAATATGTGCGTGTATGTTTTTTATTTCCTGGTCACAAAACTGAAACTATGGCCAGTACTGCACCTGGAGGACACATGAGAAACAAGCCATGGCAATCAGTATGTGCGGATAAGGGGCGAGAAGGACTCGAGAGCATCGCAATGTAAGGCGGTTTGGGAGGTTCTCTGAATGCGAAGGTGTAATCTTAAAGGGTTAGAATCGATTGGAACTTGTCATTGTAAACAATAAGGTTAGTGATACACTAAGTAGCTTTGGACAAGCCGTTTGAGCACTTTTGATTGGAAGCGTCGAATACGCTGGGTTAGATTGGCTTGGTGGAACCCGACAGTTCCGCTCCGTATTTCAGTATCTGACTTCACTGGAAGTTTATATATACCTCCTTGTTGTATTTACAGTGGATAGCAAGTCTGTTTTTCAATGAAGATATACTATTGGTACATTTTTTCTCATTGTCGTCTGCTTTTTTCACTAGTCTTTGATAAATTCAAATTGTTCGTGGATGTCAGAGGTTGCTGGATAAGATCGGGTTAACAGCAGGCGTTCTGGAAGTGATGAAACATTACTTAAGAATTTTTTCCAGAAAATCGTCCCTTAAGTCTTAAGATTCTACGTCTATTTGAATATAATTCTCTTTCTAATACATGTACTTCAAATCTGCGATAGAAAGTCTGGCAATTTCAATTTTTTTTTCGACTGAACCTGAACGCATTTTTTCTCGCATATTTAATTATAGTCATCATTTGGCCACGGCTTCATAAATCATAAATGTCGGCAACTTATGTGCCAAATGCGCCGCGTAGTCTTGTAATCCTAGGCAACAGGCAGACGTCTTAATTTTGTATTAGTAAATCCGGTAATTTCCATTTCTTTGCCAATAGACCTAATGCATTTTCTCTTTAATCTGTATGTTTTAATACATGAGTGTTGGCATTAATGCCTTTGATAAAATTGACTTGATGAGCATATAAAAAAAGATGTGAGAGAAAACTCGTTGAGTTCTAACACAAAGAAAAATGCAAATTGTCAGATATTGCTGAGGATGTGATGATATGAAAACCGAAAGCTAAACAACTTTTATTTTAACGTGTGAAACAAAACTGATTCATAACGCTTCCAACTTTCGTTGTTCAAATTTAGTTGATGAATCGTTCAAGTCTTCCTTCAACTTTAAAGTGCTAGACTTGAACGGAATTTTAACTAAAAAAGTTTCACTGGATAAGCTATTGATTAACAAAAGTTGGATGGCGAGAACACGCTTTTAGGATATGGGAAATAAAATTTATGTTTGGCATATGAAAAATTGCTAAGGTCGCCAGTGAGTACGCTACACTTCGTAATTAGACCTCAAGAAAAATGGCGAAAACCATTTCAAGATCGGTTCAGAACAACGTTTAAAAAACCTAATACGTTAAATCAGAAATTGTTTTTTGTTCGGATTTTAAATAGGTTTTCTTTCATAACTTCGAATAGACTTCATGAACGTGCAAATGAAAATAACAAAAATTAATCGTTTAAATGTTTCAAGAAATCGAAAAAACATTGTAATGGTTTATAATTAATTAAGGTTTTTAGTTTGAGATGAAAAAAAGTTAATGGCACGAGAGGGATTCGAACCCACGACCTTCGGCTAGATACGCCGCTGCTGGGTGTGAGATGGGGAGTTGATGTCCGAGTGGATCGAGGTCACGATAGCTCAGGTGGTAGAGCAGCGGCGTATCTAGCCGAAGGTCGTGGGTTCGAATCCCTCTCGTGCCATTAACTTTTTTTCATCTCAACTAAAAACCTTAATTAATTGTAATGATTTAATTGGTCAAGCGGACCACAAAATTAGTGAATTTAATTGTAATGATTGCAATATTCGAAAATAGAGCCCATGCTAAAAAAATGATAATTTATTTTCCTACGTTGAATAATTTTTGAGAAGAAGTGTCAGTAGTACGTTACAACGATTATTATGATTCATGATGGTTGGTAGTGTTAGGCGAGTGAATGAGCGCATGTTGAACCGACACTGGGCACTTACTGATGATGATGCAAAGCCGAAATTCCTTTGAGCAACATCAAAATCCGCGAGTGTAGACTGGCCCAGTATCAGTTCAATAAATCTTCATAAGCTTACAATAATTGTAATTGTTAAAAAAGACATTTCGGATTTATAAATTATTGTGTATTTGTTAATTTTTACTTAAAAACAAAAATAATAAGCAGACCTTCAGTTTTTTTAATGTTAAAAAACTTAATTTCTAACTTAATTATTCAGAAATCGTGAGATGCGGTCCGGTGTGATGTAGGTTTCAGAAAAACATTTTCTTTATCGTGCCAACGTTTCGATCTTTATTGAGATCTCACTGGCACTCTCGACACGACACGCAAGAATGGCACAATTTTGAGTGAGTAGAAATACTTTGATTGAACATAAAAAATATATTTTGCATTGTATAAAATCACTTTTTTCAACATCCTACATGTATTTGTTAAATTTAAATAAATGTTTGTAAATCCCAGGCCCTGAAGATGATCTCAATAAAGATCGAAACGTTGGCACGATAAAGAAAATGTTTTTCTGAAACCTACATCACACCAGACCGCATCTCACTAATTCTGAATAATTATCGATTAACGGTCACTAATCACCTCACATAATTTTTAACAAATATTGTTTTGCTCTCTGCCAACAAAATTTTCTAGAAGCATACTTTTATTTTTTATTTTGCTTAAATCCATATTTGTTTAATGGTTATAATTGACCATATTAATTATTCCAATTAATTATTATTTTCATCTAAAGTTTTTGGTTGAGATGAACTTATTTACTTATATACTTTTTTTACTCTAAAGGACGACAATCTGGTAAATTATTCATTTATATTCTTTTTGAATAACACAAAAGTTTGTGGTAAAGGTCGTTACGATTTATGGTTGTTGTCCTCTTGACGTTTTCATTCTAGCTTTATTTGCTGTATGTCAGACCAACAGCCACGATCTGTAAGTGATAAATATTGATTCAGCATAACGGGGTGGAACAAATCACTAGTAGTAGTAGTAAGATAAACTAGTTGAAAGTGAAACATGTGACCAGTATGAAAATAGGTTTGACTAAATTTTCATTTCATTGTAAAGTAAATAAATAGTTCACCTGTTCAAAAACTTGAGTCATGAACCCGCGTGCGTAACGGGTCTCGCTCTCCGGACGAATACAAACCAAAGGACTTCTGTGAACGACGAAATTCCGTGTTTCAAAGTTTAAAGGTAAAACCATTATTCGAATACATTTTTCCCATCTCGGGGGTGGTAGGGGCAAGGTGGTAGGGCATATTGTACCAACATCACTATAAATACTTTCACTTGCACTGTCTTCTCTCAAAACATCGCCGCATCTTCCCATAAGTGAGTCTTCTTTCACGACTATGAAAAGAGACTAAAGACGAATAATATAATCACGTTAAAACTTTAATTTTTTTAATCTCGAATATTTTTCTAAATTGTTTACTTATTTTAAATTTAATTAAAATTTGGGAACATTTTCATTCTGTTACTCATTGACATCGGCCTGGTTAATAGTTAATTAGAAGAAATTTGTTTGCTAGTTAAAATATTTAAATCCGTGTTTTTTAGGTAAGGAGCGCGGCGGCCAAATGTATCGCCAACTCATCTTTCTACTGACGATTCTGCAGGTAAGAATTTGAAATATTTTTACATTCTTACATGTGTTTACCTCCCAACGATTTAAAATCAAAACGTACTGCTTAACAATTACTGTCAAAATAAAAATACATGGAAAATTAAATATTGGCCCAAAAGACAAAAAAAGGAACTTTGTTAAAATTAAAGCAGTATTAAAATTAAAGAACATTTATCTTATTAGTTCCAAGGCATGGACATCTCGATCATTGCTCGTGGCCTTGGCTAATAGAAACTAAAATATAAAATTAGACAGAACACCTTCATTTTTTTGCACTAATTAATATCTTAAGAAGGGTAAATGTTGAACGTTTAATTTTATAAATACTCTTTGTAAATATGTTATAGTAATGAATAAATATGTATTGTTTTTCTACTAGAAATATGTGTTATTTAATTTTTTAGCAATAATTAATCGAATTTAAACATTGCATTGTAGGACATTTTCAAAATTTTAAAATAATAGTCCGCACGCAGATATTTTAAACAATTTAGTAATTTTACGACAAAAAAACCTGTAAATAAAATATTACACGTTATTAAACCATTAATAAATCAAATGATTTTTTTAACACAAATATAATACAAACAAAAAACAAATAATAATATTGACAGTTTGTTTGTGGTATTACCATGAGAACTTCTAATACGGATAATATTTGTCTTATACACACTGTATACTATATATTATGTCTGTACTATTTTTATACATTTTGACAAACCTCGACTGACTTGAAAAAATTGGTATTTTGGCCTTCTCCGCACTAACTTGTGTTCATTGTGTATGTTTGTACATATTATTTTGAATACACTTTCAGCCTTTCCAGCTCTTATAGGCAATTATTTCAGATAATATGACAAATTCCTTCTGGGTATTTTTGAAGTTTACAATTTAAGATAATTGATCTGTACGTAACTACACAATTTCATATGCTTGGCGTCATCGAAATTTGTTTTACCTCCTCTTCTTTAAATTCCATAGATGTCTAAAAATTATAGCAAAACGTTATTATATAAATAATGCCCAGAATTGCAGGAATTTTATTTGTTTTGTACTTTGCTAAACACTTTTTCCTAAAAAAATGATAATCTTTATTCCAACTGGTAATTGCATTCTTCAAGCCGTGGATTCTCACATTCACTTTCATTTTCACAATTACACAGGCAACATTGTTTTTAAAACCTGATGCTGGCCGTGAGAAAAGGCGCAAATGTAAATCCGTATTTAATTGTGGCAAAGGCCGGACTTATTAGGACGTTTTGCAATAATAAAATTACACCCTTTTGCTATTTTGAAGACGACCATTTCGTCACTTGATGTTACAGGTATTGAACGGGGATTACTTTCGCTTTAAAAATATTCTTCAAACGACAGCACGTCGTAAACCCAAGTGGCACAGAGTTCGAACACTAAAAATGGCATATAATTTCGATGATAAATGTCGTATGTTGACATCCATAATTCGAAAACAGCTCGATTTGGTCTTTCTTAAAAATCTGTTTATTTCCTAGCTCTATAACTCAAGAAAAATAAATTCATTTTGAAGATAATATATCTAAAGGAAACAGTTGAGATTTGGAAAGTGGCTTGACGATTATGCAGTGGGTCAAAGGACATGGTGAAGACACGGGGAGTGCCATTCTTCCCATCTGTATTTTACTTTTTAAAACACGACTGACTCATTCCAAACAAGATGATCTTATCTTACTTAATAAACAGCATCATACATTTAAGTGGTAAATTGAAATTTAATATTCCCTCGAGGAATAAATTTCATTTGGTTCCGTATAAATGTTTTTACATCTCCGAAGCCTCTGACAGTCGATTTTAGATTCATCAATTAGATTTTAGATTTTAGTTCATCACTAAACCTGATTAAATTTTTTTTTATTAAATAAAAATTAATTACATACATACTGATTCTTACTGCTTGTTTAATTAAATTTTGTAAGATCATACAAGGTTAAAGAATGACAATGGCAAGGATTTCCGTGCAAATAGTGGAGAATTAACAAAGAAACGAAATAAAAATAAAATAACGAGTTGTCATTATGTATTTAATTTTAATATTATTTTAAGCACTTATTTATTTATGGTGTACAGTTTTAATGTAAGTATTGCATAATTTTTTTTATATCTCCATAAGGAAATTAATTCCAGTCATGAAGTAGGGCTTATTATCCCCAGAACCGCTAGAGTGCCAAAAACGGACTCCCAACCATTCAACCACCGCGATTCTCGATGAGTATATTTGGATATTATTTTATCAATATTTCGGGAATTTTTAACAGTAATTTGGTAATTTTAAGGTTTGCAGGTATTAAAAACACTTTTTTAGCAAGTATTTAATATGACGTAAAAAAATGGTCAATTAACAAATGACTATATCGACTATGTCTGGAGGATACCGAAGCAAAATAAGATAGGAAAAAGGCTGTTGTACCTAAGAAAAGCATTCCTGAGAAATGAAGACCTTGTTACCATACCCCTGAGAATTCTTTTACTGAACATTAGAAACAAAAATATTCAAGAAAAAAGAGATGGAACACAATTGACAAAAATTTGTACGTTGCAAAAGAGGGAAATCCCTACTACTCTAAAGGAAAAATCAAATATATCTGAATTTACTTTGAATAATTAATTATGTAAAGAATATAAATATTTTATATTAGTTTAGGGAATTGCATGATGGCATTGGCTCATTTTATGCGATGACTCTCAAATGAAAATCCATGAAAAGCATACAGGGAAAACGTACCTAATCCTTGACTCTTTCCCCCTAAATGTCAAATTGATTCAACATGGAGTTAAAAAAAAATTAAAGGGCAATTAATACTATTTATTCGTTTTTATTCACGATTTGACAGACGGCGAAATCACGATGTGCTTTTCCTTTTCCCTTTTGGACCTTCTTGCCTTCGTGACTTCAACTTCGACCGTACGTACCAACGACGGACAAAATACCAAGGGCTTTCGATAACCAACTTTTCCTTTCTTTAAGGCACTTCTAATACATAAAATAATACACGATAGAAATGATTTTCTTTATAAAATCATATAATATGGCGAAGTAAACTGATGACCCAAATGTGATTTTCATTTTTTTTATACAGAAAAAAGTTAAAAGCCTACAAAAATACGTACATGTAAGAATAAAATAAATGTTAAATGTTAAAACAAACGTGAATTTATGAACGTTACATAACATAGAGCAGATAGATGAGCCATATGGAATCTAAAGACTAAAAATTATCTCTTTTCTACGGTTCTTGCAGTAAAGAAAAACAGTTTTATATTTACAATTATAAAAGTTTTCACTTTTCTTGTCTTTAATATGCAAAATAGCCACAGGACTATAAAAATACCCACAAGTAAAAATTACATAAATGTTAGCTATTCAATTCAGGCGAATTTGTTTGTTGATCATAACATATATACAACAAGTTGTTGTGCCGTGTGGAATCTAAAGACAGAGACATCCTTTTTCCACTGTTCTTTCCTCTTGATTCTTATTTCACTGATGTACCCGACAGACACATTGCTAGTGGTGAAGAAATTGTACCTTTTTGAAATCACTTTTTTACCTTACATACACTTAAGAGGAATTATGATTTTAATTATAAAACTATCTTAAATATTGAGGTAAACTGAGGACACCAAAAACTGGTGATTTTACATTTTTTGATTATAAAATTTTAAATATAAACAATTACAAGCCCTCGTAATACACATGTGTTAAATGTTTACGTAAGCCGAATTTATTATTTCAACATAGCACAGAAGCAAGTATGCCTACCATATGGAATCTAAAGACAGAAACTATCCCTGTTCGATCGTTCCTGCAGCAAAAATGCTTCCTGACTTCCGCAGACTGTTAACGGTTTTTCCAAAAAATTCCACACTTTAAAAGGAGGTTTTATATCTAAAGTAATACATTATATTACGAATAAGTATTTTTATTATAAAACCGAGGTAAACTGAAGGGGAACTCCAAAATTAGGTGGTTTTCATTTTTACCCTTACATTAAAAAGTTTTAAATTAATTTAAATTTATTTTTAAAAAGTTCTTGCGTGGAAAAAGTGTTATGATTTTCTAAAATCAAAAGAAAACCTTCAAAAATATATTGAACTCTTTCCTCCAACAAAACTTGAACATCTAGCGAGACTATACGGCATGATGAAGGGCAAACATTCATTCTCTGGCTTAATTGACGAAAACACACCCTTTTAATTGATAGGCTATCTTATTATTGGTTTTTAATTTTTTAAAATGTTTTTTCAATTATATTGATATTAATTAATGTATTTCATGTTGCCCATACGACGTTCTTGTCATAAAAATGTTTCGGAGAGCTTTAATTTCCTAGTACCTAACAATTTCAATATCACAAACGATCAAAATATGCAAAAGAAGAATATAAATAAATGAATGATAGGATATTTTTTTAAATTATTAAACAACATAAAATCTAAAATAACCTGGTCTCTAGGTGTTTTCGGTTTTTCTCTTCTTTTGTCATTAATTTCTTTTTGAATCCTAGGTTGGATGTAAAAATGTTGAACTCATAAAAATCATAAAATCGCCAAAATCAGCGTTTTTGATTTTTTAAAAAAATCATTGATTTTCTTTTCGGTCTTACCACAGGCCCTTCTTCAGAGCTTCTAAGAGCAGGTGTCATCCTCATATAGGATAGTTTAATATTTTCCCACAAATCTTCGATGTAAAAGAAATTCAATAAAATGATTTTATACTACTGTACTACTTTACCGAAATTAATATGTAATATAAAGGTTTTTAATTCGTATATATTGCAATTTGAAGATTTAAATGTAATTTACCAGTACGTAAAGGATTTTCGTTGTTATAGACTGTAAGGGTAAAAATTCACGGAACATTTAATTAACTGACAGTTAATTATCTGGTAAATTGAAGGTTCAACGATGTACATCTAAACTTGAGTCGTATTCTATGAGAAATTATAACGTGCATAT